AGAATTAGAAGGTGCTAGTTCGTGAGATACGGTGAGATTTGGGTAGTGATGATTATGTTCCCATTGACTTAACGGTAGGGGGGGGCGTGGGGTTACAGTTTGGGGATATCTTTGGTGTCCTTGTCGTGGTAGATTGAGTCGAAGGGGGATCCATTCTTTATATTTCGGGAGCAAATCATATGTTTTACTTTTACTAATTTTAAAGACTCGAATCGAACCGAACGACTCTTGATTTTTACCAAGTTTTCTTGGCAAGCATGTTTTTAGGGTTCTTGAGACTCTTAGGTCCACATATGGCATGCCTCAGTCCACATATGAACTCTTTGTTGCCCACCTTGTATCCTAATGTGTGCGGCCTTCTCGACTAGTTTTTCAAAGATGCAATCTCCACGATGGATGTTTCTTGAGTCGCCCGAGACGTCGACATGGTCCAATTTGTTGACGTATGGATTTTGCTGTTAGATTGACCTGATGAATATAGACGGACCAAACCTAAAAATCATTATCTAGACCGGCTCACAACATAAAGATGGTATATTATCCGTACAAAATTGACGCAACTTGGGCAGGTGGGATCAAAGAAGAGAATGGCTCACTTAGACTCAGCATTTAGCCTTTCGAGCTCACCGGCCCCGACATCGGTCCACAAAATGATTAAATCTACCCGCCAGCACCCATCTCTTTAGAAAAAAGTCGTCGGAACACAGAGATTCGCATGGCTTCTAATCCTAAATTAGGTTTTGCCGTTGTAGTGCTACCTAAGTTGTCGGCCGAAACAGTTCCATAAAATCAATTAGGATAAAGTTTCCAAATTATTAAAAAAACCGAAACAAAAAGAAGACATCTTTCAATAGGTTGTTGCATCTTGGGACTTGGGTCCAAAAATCGAACATCAATGTATGTTGAGTTTGATGTGTGTGCTGTGTGTGACGGGTCCCTTTGCATTACTCCTCAAGGCAACTTGTGATCCTATCACATGGAGTTCCCTCAGCAAATGTGTCGTTTCATTCATAGGACAAACGCATTAGAAACTTTTCTCTCTCTCTCTCTCTCATTTTCAGCTTTGAAAACCCTTATCATATAATTCGAAAAAGTGTCAATTTTGTCCTCGACCTCCACAACTTCTTGTCCTATTCCATTGACAATGCGGTGCGGCATGAAAACTTGGCCACTGTAGTAGAGCCACCATGCCAATTGTCAACCCTCATGCACGCCACCACGTGTTGGCTTCGGTGTCCGATCGTCGCACCGGAGACACGTGCGCATGCATCCACTCTTGTGGTCATTGTCCGAGACATCAAATGATTGAGATCTCCCATTTGATTAGTAGTGATCTTATCTTGGCGAGGAGGGGATGGAAACGGAATGTGATCGTGACCCTTTGTTTTAGTCCAAGACCTCGTTTGATTTGGATCGAACATCGTTGGTCTTACACAAGTGTATATCCGAAGATGTTAATTTCTCTCAAGGATGTCATTTTTCCACGTGCATAAAGCTACACCCTTTTGATGATGCATAATCGTATCTAATCCGAGCGTATCCGGGTATATTAGTATCGGGGTATGTCAAACTTTCCTAAAGGGGGTGGTCTCTAAAGTGTATCGATGCACCATGATCGGAGTCGAAAATTCGGGATTAAGACATGCTTGTATTGTTGTAAACTCGTTAAGACGGTCGTGAGTTAGGGCAGATTATGCTGCTCAAGACCAAAACCACGCGTGTGATCGTGAAGTGGAGGGCAATTTGTGTTTTTTTGTGCGGCTTTTAGGAGCCCAAGTCTCGAACGTTGACATTTCATGTGAGGTACTTGTCACTGTTGGGCCAATGACACGTGGCCCTAAGGGCGAAAGGACGCATTTCCAAAATGCCTCTTCCTTATAAGGAAATTTTTTTGCACGTGACGTTGCTTTCTCCGGAGACCCTTTTGATTTGAATTAATTGATCTATTATTGAATTTTGTGAGGCTCCTTTATTTAGGTGAATAAAAATATTTAAAAATGTGGATGGCAAGGAAAAGTGTGCCGAAAAATAGAAATTAGAAAATAAGAAGAAAAGAAGAGCAAAAGCAGAAAGTTCAAGGCTCTTATTATCGTCGACCGAGAAAGATATCTCCCGTTGCATGAACACTTTAGCTGTGGCAATGCGGTTGTACCTATACCTGCTTTTGTAGATGAATTGGGGGGGAAAAAGGAAGGTTGCCTTTTATGGTAACTGCAAAAGATGGGAAGCATGAGCACAGGCCAAAATCACAGTTCATCTATTTGGCCTCGTGACTTGTTGGATTCATGATCATGTGCTAACATACTGAAATTTGTGTGGGGATCTCTTTAATTTCGATCGACGATATGATTGACGAATGAATTATGTCACAAGTCACGCCCCCGATTAGCTTTTTGCCAGATACCGATGGCGGGCGCAATGGAATCGACCCTCATCGTTGTCGAAATGAGCTAATTAGACCGAAGAATTTGCCCCAAATTCTTGTACTCTCTTTGGATACTCTGAAGTCTTGAACTCTCACCTTCTCCTTTTTATATGTGCAACAGGGCTTGGTCATACTCACGGTGCAGGCCAAGTCGGCCTCGCTGAAGCCGCCGCCCTGCGACCTCGCCAACCCTGCGGCCGTGTGCCAAGAGGTCGGCGGCGGGAAGGCGGCGATGCTGTTCGCGGGGCTCTACCTGGTGGCGCTCGGGGTCGGGGGCATCAAGGGCTCTCTGCCATCGCACGGGGCCGAGCAGTTCGACCACAGCACGCCGCAGGGGAGGAAGCAGAGGTCCACCTTCTTCAACTACTTTGTGTTTTGCCTTTCATGTGGAGGCCTGATTGCAGTCACACTGGTGGTATGGGTTGAGGACAACAAAGGTTGGCAATGGGGATTTGGGATCTCCACACTTGCAATTTTCTTGTCAATCCCAATCTTTCTTGCCGGATCAGCCAGTTACAGGAACAAGATCCCTTCTGGGAGTCCACTCACAACCATTTTCAAGGTTTGCATTCATTTTCTTGAATTTGGTTTTTTAGGTCTCTGCTAGAAGGTTGATTAATAGACCTTACTACGAGCCAGACGGTTTATGGACCTGCCCGGGCCGAATAAGCTCCGGCATGGCCTGAGCCCGCCTAATGATCACTTTAGTTCTTAAGAATGTGCATGTGTCTGATCAGCGATCACCCATTACCACCATATGATCTTGCCAATGTTTTCTAGTTTGGATCTATCTGAACTCATCCTAAATGCTTGTTTGCAACAGGTTTTGATTGCTGCTACACTCAATCCCTGCAAATCCAGGAACACGAGCAATGCCATTGCAAGCATGAACACAAGCCCCTCTCATGCAACAACCCAGATGGCCCAACGCAAACAAGAAGCATTTGAAGCAGAAGAAGAAGAAGATGACCCGAAGTCAAAGGAGGTAACACTTCCCTCAAATGGAAGCTTGAGCTTCCTGAATAGAGCAGTGACAAGCAAGCCCATTCACAGGTCACTGGAGTGCAGTGTCCAACAGGTTGAGGATGCCAAGGTTGTCCTGAAACTCCTCCCTGTCTTCGCTTGCACCATCATACTCAACTGTTGTTTGGCCCAACTCTCCACCTTCTCGGTCCAACAAGCATCGACGATGGACACCAAATTGGGCTCCCTCAAGGTCCCGCCGGCCTCCCTCCCGATCTTCCCCATCCTCTTCATCATGATCCTCGCGCCGGTCTACGACCACTTCATCGTCCCGTTCGCGCGGAGGGCAACCAAGACCGAGATGGGCATAACCCACCTGCAGAGGATCGGGATCGGGCTGGCCCTCTCCGTCCTGGCCATGGCGGTGGCCGCCCTCGTCGAGATCAAGAGGAAGCGGGTCGCGTCCCATTCGGGCCTCCTCGACTCGCCCGGCCCGCTGCCCATCACCTTCTTCTGGATCGCGCTCCAGTACCTGTTCCTCGGGTCGGCGGACCTGTTCACGCTCGCGGGGCTGCTCGAGTTCTTCTTCTCGGAGGCCCCGGCGAGCATGAGGTCCCTGGCCACGGCCCTCTCGTGGGCCTCCCTGGCCATGGGGTACTACCTGAGCACGGTGATCGTGTCCATCGTGAACGGGGTGACCGGGAACTCCGGGCACAGGCCGTGGCTCAAGGGGACGAACCTGAACGGGTATCATCTGGAGAGGTTCTACTGGCTCATGTGCGTGCTCAGCGGGCTGAATTTCCTGAACTACCTGTTTTGGGCCACCAGATACAAGTACAGGTCCACAGGGTGTAGCAAGTGAGGCGGCGATCGATGAAGAAAACACTGGCAAATTTGATGTGTCAGGAGAACTATTTCCACTGTATGTAGTTACACTTTAGAGAGAGAGTGATTGATAGGTAAAAGTGGTGAAGTTTGGTTGTAATTATGGGGCTTTCTTGTAAACCGTAGGGACACTCATTTGATGAAGGTCACGGTGAAAAAGATACCACAGCAATTTACTTTGTGTATCGCTGTTTGATGAGTTGCTTTTTACAATTGGAATTTCTCTAATGCTCCGTTCTATTTTCTAGATTAAGTATTTATATATTTATAAAATAATAAAAATCCATCACGGGGATGTAGCTCAGATGGTAGAGCGCTCGCTTAGCATGCGAGAGGTACGGGGATCGATACCCCGCATCTCCACTTTTCTCTGTCCCTTTTTTTTTTTAGGTAAAACAAACTTAGGACAAAAATATTAATATTTTTTGTTTGTCTTGAACCTAAGTAAGGCATGCCATTGGACCTTAGAGACCCATTCAGCCACTTTCGAGACAAACTTGAATCCATCCATCAGTTTCTTCAAAGAATGGTACGCATGCTGCTTCTTGTATTTGATCTTAAGATAGGGTTTGCCAATGTAATATATAATTCATAAGCTAAAATTATGATAATTTCATGCACGACTTCACGACCACGTCAAAAGGAGTTCAAGAAAATCCTTCCTCATCTGAACATTGACCTCTCTCCGATTGAGTTGTGGAAAAACTGTAAATTACATTAGGGAGTTTGGTGCCAACATAACAAATTCCACTGCTCCTTCTCTAAGATCTTGTTACATTACATGACAGGTTGAACCCGTCAAGGGCAAAAAATTCAGAACCTGTGAATCACATGGAATTGAATTTGAGTTGAATTCTATATCGCCCTCCAAGGCGAAAGAAGAAGGAGAAGAAGAAATTTACAAGAATTGCCTAGCTAATAATACTCTGCACCAGCTAATTACATGAGAGAGTCCGGACCCTTCACCGGACCCTCACCCAAATGCCGCGGCTCGGGATCTCTGCGTGGACGACAAACAGCATGTAGTACCCCGGCGGCGCCACTGTGGCGCTCGGCGGCGCGGCCACCGTGATCCTGTAAGCGAAGCTCGACAAGCGGACCACGCTCAGCACATCCAGCCACAGGAGCCTTTGGTTCATCGCGAAAGAGTGGGTCGTGAAGGGCGGGGCCAAGAGCCCGACCGAGAGCCCGCGCCTCGGCCGGTACATGGTCACGACGAAGTTAACGGAGAACCGCTCTGAATACAAAACCGTTTGCTCCGCGGCCTCGAGAGATAGTATGGACGGCCTCAGGATGGCGAATTGCGGGCTGAGGTACGGCGGATAGAAGGCCTCAAGGCTGAGGTCGGTCGGGTACGGGTAGGCCGTGAAGTTGTACTTGCTGTGCGGGTTGCTCCCGCCGACTAGGACCCTTCCGTCTGGCACCACGACCGCAGTCGAGTGGTACATGCGAGGGATCCGGGCCGGGTTCAGGACCTCGAACCTCCGGGCTAGGCCGGGGCCATCCGGCAGGTAGAGGACCGGGTTGTACACCGCGTTCCTTCCGTCCTCCCACCCGGCGGTTCCGTTTGTCGCGCCGTTGATCATCAGCACATGGCCGTTCGGCAGGAGCAGCATGTCGGACATGACACGAGGCATCGGCATTTGCTCCATTGTCCACTCCGGATTCGGGTCGGACACTCGGAGCCGCCCGCAGGACCGCGAGGCCTCCACGAACACCCGGAGCTTGTCGGACTTGGTGAACGCGCCTGGTGGCGAACCACCGCATATCATCACCTCCGCCGCCGGCATCGCGGACCTCCCTCCCAGCCGCATCGGGAGCAGCACCGACGACCCGGTGCTCGGGTAATTCCTCTTGTCAGATCCGGGTATGACCGGGTACTCCTTGATGACCCGGCTTTTCTTATAATCGAACAAAATGGACCGTTTGTTGGCGAAAATGAAGAGATTGCCGTCGGGCAACAAGTGCAGGAACGGGTACAGATTGTTCTCTTCTCTCAAATCCCTCGTCTCTTTCAAGAACTTGAGATAGAAGCTCTTCTCCGTAGCGGAGGTCTTGGGGAAGAACTCGTACGTGAACACGTTTCGCCCTCCGACGATGATCACGCGCCCGTCGGGCAATATGTGGTTCGACGCGTACCACCTTCGCTCGACCAGGGTTTCCTCGAGCTCCGTCCAGTCGCAGGAATTGCCCCTGCGGCCAAGGCACGGCGCGAACATCCGCACCTTCCGCTCGCCGTCGTTGTACCCGCCGGTCTGCAAGAGGGTCCCGTCGGGGCGGACAGTGCCGGAGGAGCACCACGTGTCGGTCTGGACGGTGAGCGGGCGGATGGAGTTGTACTCGACGTCGTAGAGGAGGGCGTGCGCGGTGCAATCGACCTTGAGGGCGACGTCAGCCGGGTCGCGGCGGCACCTGCCGCGGGGGAGGGACAGGTTGGAAGGGCCGAAGTCGGTGCGGTCGAAGATGACGACCGTGCCGTCGCGGAGGACCTGCATGTGCATGGCCGAGAGGCCGATGCTGGGGCGGAGGAGGGACCAGCGGCCGCCGCCGAAGAACGAGGTCGTCGGGAGGGCCAGGTCCGGGGAGGAGAGCCCGAAGAGGGAGAAGAAGAATGCTAGGGTCGCTGCGGCGGAAGTGGCCGAGAACATCGGTTTCTTGATGGCCGACGCCATGGATGATCTCGTCGGAGGTGGGTTCTGGAACTTGAATCGGGTGGTTTCTTGATTTTCTTGGACTGTGTGTGGAAGAGAAGAGGGAGGGTTTCAAGAATCTTGGAAGGAGAGAAGGGAAGGCGTTCGGGTTCCCGCTCATGCATGGGAAAGGGGATGATGCAGATTTTTCTCTTTTTTTTTCTCCTTTTTTTCTCTGCATGCAAAAATTGGCAAAATTCATTTCTAATGGGAGTCCGAGATATATGTAGCGGTATTGGCTTCTTTGCCTTAGGATTTGAGCAGTTCTCAAAATAAATGTTACTATTATTGTTGTATGCTGCCTTCCGATGGTAGCCGTAGATTTACCGATACTAATTTATAAAGCGGGCAAGTGCTATGCCAATATTTATCTCAAAAGACAGACGCCGTCGTTTCAAGTCAAAAATCAGTCGATGCAGTAAGTAAGGGCTTACTTAATTGATTAAATGGTAAAAAAATTTAATGAGTATTGAAATGTTACTAATTATATTGTCGAAACATTCCACCTATGCACGCTATTCCATATTTGTTAGAAATTAATAAAATTTATTGTTTGATTTTATATCTATTGTCAAGCAACTTCTTGTTTTTATTTTCATTACTTAAAGACTTAAGCGCTTAGTATTCAGTACCTGAACATTCAACATTTATATTTCAATATTGGGAAACGAGCCCAACTACGTGAAAAAACGTATCCGAGTTGACCCTTCAGATTTGCGAATGTTACCCGTTTGCGGATATACGAATATTTATTTTATTGAATGAAGCTTGTACGTCAATGGAATTAGTAACAAGAAAGAAGTTTTCATTTTTCTCCATACTAAAAATTACTTATTTACGGATTGAAGAAATTACCAGTTAGCCAGATATTCGAGCCTACTTTTCTAGGTGGACTACCGATTTTGCGAAGTTTGCGAACTATAAATATGTTGAAATTACCTTTCCCAATACAAAGTTACCAACGAGGTATAGTAATCATTAGTTTTACTAATAGGTTACTTACTTATTTTTCCATTATAAGAGTTCATAATCCCAATTAAAGAGTCGCTTCATATAATTACTTAACTATTCTATAGTCACTCGACCTAGATTAGAGACTCGCAATTGGCGCGTTCGTCTGTGTTCTTCTCGCACGCATTAGGGTGTCTTGAACCGAAAAGAAGAGAGGAACGACAACCTAGGGCTCAATTCAAGAGTACTTCTATCAAAGATGTTCGAGAAACGCTTAAGCAATCGAGTCGAGGTGATTCGTGCGTTGTAATCTTCTCCAAGCTTTACAAAAGAAAGGGAGCAGAGATATGTATCCATCCGGATACTACCGTAAGCTACCAAGTACGTAAATTCGAGTGTCTAGCAAGTAATCGACCGATATGTTATGGCCCGAATATGTCACCGCACGTCCGCTTGACATGCCGGATATTCTCCTTCCAATGTTTTAGCGAATGGAGAGAAATCTCTTCCGTCTCTCCCTTGCAGATGTCAGCACAATTCGCTAATTGCGCCAAATCCGTCTCCAACTAACGTTTCGCATTTTAATTTCTCTCAGCAATTTCGCTATTGTTTTGTTCCGCGCTTCTCGCATCAAGCGCGACACAGTCCATGACTAAGTCAGTCCCGTCATATCAAGCAGAAGCAGAAAAAATCGACAGAAACGCAAATCTTAGGTCGTTCAACTTGTTAATTGAAGCATTTTCATATATCAAACAATCTCCATATGACAAGGGTTGCCCTTACGTGACAATCCCACCTTGACGTTATCTGGCTACTAGACTAGCTGCAACCCCAGAACAAGATACTTGAAGTTCACTCACTACTAACTGGGATGGTAGAGAACGTAACTTGAACCATGTATAGGCGAAAGGTCGTTTCGTTGTACTATGATCTTGAAGTGCCAGCACCAATTGACATTGTCCTCAATGCAACCTTCACCGCACCAACAGTGCTACGTTGCCTCATTTCAGGGCTCAGTGCATCTCCGCCCTGGTTTTCGCAATCCTCTTCGATCTGAACACCCACAAAATATGCAATCTGTCGGGGACAACGGCAGAAAAGCAGATTGATTGATTTAGATGTCACCACCCAACAAGACACCGACAAACTGGAATTTAGAGAAAGATTCCTGCTTATGTGCTACTAACCATATATCAACTTGCTTATGTGTTAAGTATCAGCAAAATACATTTTCTGAATTGGAACTGTCAGAAAAAGATGATACAAATTGGGTATTGTTGCTAATCACAGTCCTGAAGGACACAAATTGTTGTTTCCTAGCTTCCACGTGAATTTGAGAGCAAAGACAATGGTGGCAAAAGAAGAAAGAAGATAAAAGTAACACATATTTTAACATGCCAAGTAACATTTGGAACATGGAGGTAATATAACTCGGATGATTTCTTCTGCGATAAACATAATCACATTCGAATTGCAGGACTTTTTTCAGTGCAAAGCAGTAAAAGAACTGGATGTGACTCATCATACAACGCATACACCAACTTGATGAGGACTCATAACCCAATTTAGACTAAATCACAGTCTCTCGGGAAAAAGAGACAACTAAAAGACAGGATTAAATGCGAAAGCATCGGTACAAGAATTCAGTTACAAAAAACCTAATGTCATGAATAAGTTGATATAGGCATCAGTTAGTCTCCTCTTTGGGAGAGCTTCTTGAATGGCCAAAAAGGAACCTAATATTGTTTTGCTAACAAAGTAATCATTAACTGAACAAAACAACGCGAAATAGGTATTACGTGAACCTGAGAGAATAGTTTATCAACAATTCTCCTCCTGGTCATTAGAAAACATCATGGTTCTCTCCTTATTTGTCTAAGCATAAAGGCATATAAGAAGACTGACTTCACAACCTCAAGTGTGCTAAACATCAAAGCTTATTTGGGAGTAAAATCCGTTTCTATCTCTTTGTAAGGAAATTTCTGAACACAAAATACTCATGAGCATCGCTCTTCCATGTCTTGAAAGCTTGACAGAAACCAAACTTAAACATCCACAATGCAGATGAGTTTCAGAAGCTTCTTTATATGACAATACCTTGCCAGAAGCATTACGAACAGGTGATATGTGGAGTCGATTCCAGAACGAATTTCCATCCTTCCTGAAGGGAAAGAGAAACTGAGATCACATGTTACGTTCATTTTGATAAACTTATGTTGAAAGGATAGACAAGTATCAACCTGTAATTCAAAATACGTACTGTGCATGGTTGTCTGATCCGAATGCATTCCTTAATCTAGTAGAATTATAATCCTTTAGCACTAAGCACGACATTGCTTAAAATTCAATAGAAAAAAAAAAAAGAGAGAGAAAAAGGTCGTTGCCGTCCACACTAGATAGAAACAGACCTGAAATAGAGTTGATGAGTCCGTATCCATCCCATTTAAGAATCTACAGTTTCGCCCCAACACTTCGTGCCTAGAGTACCCTACAGAGATTAGAGTATGAAATCCTACGTAAAGTATTCTTCTATGTAAATAGTTCAGAACTCAGCATAAGTCCGAAAATTCGGACAGAAGGTCAATACAGAAGGTCAATCACGTTGAAAAAACAGTGTGTATCTGTTGAAGAATGTAAATTACCGGTCAATTTTAAGAAGGCGTCGCTTGCGTAAACAATGGGCATGTCTGGTAAGTGCACATCAGTTCTGGAAAACAAGACATACGTGTCGCGCCAAAGACAAAACAAAGGAATCAGTAATGTCGATACAAGAGAAGGTGATAATGAAATTGAGACAATTAGGTACTTGTAAAAACTCACAATACAAAGCTTTGTTTGATTCTACCAAGAGATATAATTACGGATGAACTGAGAAGACTGGATCCGGGACAAAAGAATCTTTTCCCGCAAACCAGTCTGCCAGTCGATTCACTGTAGCGAGTAAGCACCGACATAATGTCGCCGATAGCGGAAGCAGCCCTTCGCTTCTCCGAATCACTTGCCTCACAAGGCTCTTCTGCCTCTACTCCTGTCATATTCAGACGCGGTACATGAAAACTTGCCAGAAAATGCTCGGAAATTAAGGCACAAATAAATCGAAGCCACGATTTTCTTCAACGTAAACTCAAATTCCGATATGTAGGGAAATACCATCATATGAATCTGTGTTGATATCTTTATAAGGAATCGACGCCCAAGCATTCAAAAGAACCATGGTCCAGATAACCATCTAGAAAGTCCAGATGCTAGAAATAGTACAGTGCACATCATGGCTTAAACTTAGACGCAGATATAAACTTCAATTTATGATAAACTTAACTGATTCAAATTAGCATGCACATTAAGAACGATGTTACGCAATCAGCAAGGTACAGCTGCCATTGAAACATAACCACAAATGACCCACCTAAAACATTTAAGCCCATCCCAGTATCAACTAAAAGACGAGGCCAAATTGATTGTATCCTAGAAAAGGTGAACATCACAAACTAGTCCATGTGATGAAACTAGCAAAGCATGTCTAAGTGACTGAAACCAGAACATCACCACCCCCTGGCCAAAGCACACTGGAGTACTGAACTACAAGAGAACGAATTACAGCACGAGTAGAAAAATGCACATACGAACAATTAAATTCTCAGTAAACACACACCTCTGCTATCTGAATCCAAAACCGAACCAAACGCCGAAACATGACCCAATTCCGCCAGACTGTCCGAACACACTTCCCTCCTACAAGAGCCCAACAAAACATCCCTCAAACCACCACCAACCTCCCCACTCAGGTTCACCCCATTCCTCCAATTAGCAGCGCAGGACCGCCTCCGAGGCCTCGATATCGGCACTTGAACCGCCACGAAATGCGCGACCGCCCCGCCGTCCCGATCGAACACGGGGATCATGTGGAACAGCATCCACAGCGGCGTCCCGTCCTTGCGGTAGTTGAGCAGATTGATCTGTATCGGCCTCTCCTCGCGTATCGCCTCCCGAATCTCCATCACCGACCGCCGGTCCGTCCCGGGGCCCTGGAAGATCCTCCCGTTGCGACCGATGACCTCCTCCCTCGAGTAGCCGGACATCTTCAGGAACCCGGGGCTGGCGAACACGATCGGGTGGCCGCCAATGCAAGGGTCGGTGATGGTGAAGCTGTCGGGCAATTCGTCGAGCGCCTCGCGCACCGAGCGCGAGTAGCGACCATCGAACGACTGCTCAATCAGAGCCGACTGCGACCCCATCGCGACCGCGCGCGCACTCCTCCCGATGCTTCTTCAGCTCCTCCTATGCCTCCTCCTGAGCCGTTCGAGCCCAGTCCCATGTACGCGCCCCTCTGGTTGCTCCGGGAGAAACTCGAAGGCCGGCACTCAATCCGAGCAAAATCAGGTGCTAGAGAGAGAGAGAGAGAGAGAGTTAAAAAGGGAACGTAAGGAAGCAACAACGCGAGGCCACTCGCTACCCGAAGTCCATAGATTTTCCCGCAGCGAACCTTCCGGCGCAAAGAGACAAGGGCGAGAGCGACAAGGACGGAGCCGATCGTACTGCCGCTACCGCCGCGGAGCAGTGGCGGAGGAGGAGGAGGAGGAGGAGGAGGTCTGAAATCGCTCGAGCGAGCTCGTCCGCGGCTGTGGCGAGCGACGTCGACGCATATCGGTTTCACGGGCGACGATCGGCGCCAAAGGGAGGGGGCGGGGGGGATGAAATATCTCGGCGCGGATTCGATTGATGGAGATTGCGAAAGCAGAGAGACAAAGGAAGGAGGAGCAAGAAGACGACGACGCTAGAGAGAGAGACGGACAGACGGAGAGAGAGAGAGAGAGAGAGAGAGAGAGAGAGAGGACGCGAGTGACGCAGAAGCGAGCGAGGGACGAGAGTCACAGAAACGAGATTTTTGTAATTTTTCTTTTTTATTGTTATCATTACGTGGCTCTTTCGGAAATTATTACTTGACGAAGAGAGTTTCCAAACTTACCGATCAAAAAAATTGAAAAATGACACAAATAATCTCGAAATTTTGATTCAACGTGTAATTTAATCGCTGAATTTTTACTTAAACCCAACCCATCTTTATGACTCTTTTTTCATTCTTTCTTGCCATGCCCTTAATCACTCCGTCCACTCATCTCGATTTAAGTACAAATTTTCCTAAATTGGGTTTTTATTGAAATGGGTCAGATTGGATATTTATTGGATATGAGTCACAAGATTTGCATTGTATGAAAAATGGATCAAATTGGGTTAATAATTAACCCGCCTATTTGGCGAGTCTAATTTTGCTTCAGCGGTCATTATTACTTGATATGTTGAGCTTATATCTAAGGGCCTTAGCCTAACTCTTAAGAATATTAGCCGTTAACCTGGCCATATAACATAATCAAGGATGAATGTTTTTCACGATTCAGGGAGACAAGTGTGGAATATTCACGAAACGCTCTCGTAAGTTTCATTAACCGATTGAGTTTGGGCCATGGATTGCGTGGGCAGCTCTAATTTAGATCAGTTTGAAAATCCTCTCATTCCAAATAAATGAAAGGGTTAGTCGATAATACTCCTTTTGCTTCCTTTTACGTGGATGGCCAAGAAGAGGTGATTCTTGGTTGAGCTCGCGACCCGTCAGGGTCCTTTGCCGGGCTTAACTTGTTACCCAAGCTCTTCATCTCGAAAAAAGAGAAACACGAAAGTAATTTTTCGGACTAGATGGGACCTTGCTCAAGATTGAAAGAGCTGGATTCGAGCTTTATCGAGACGCGTCGCCTCTAACACGCCGTATCGATTGATACGCGAATCCTTCGAAGTCATAGCAAGTAAAACCCGCATGCCGGAATTGGAGAAAGAGGCACGAGGCTACCATCGCCGTGGCCGACGAAGACGAGGCTGGGCCCCTTCGAAAGAAGAAGCAGTCTCGAACCGGACCAGAAAGAGCCTTCCCCAGAAGAGGACTTTGGCTTCCACCACGAGCCACTCCTTCCTTTAGCTTTATTATATCTATAACCACCCCAGTTTGGAACTCAATCATTGGAGCTGGAATCTTTAACATACGGAGAAGAGACGCATCCAAACTTTTCTCTATTTTAAAAAAGAATTATTTTCAAGAGAAATAGTTTTTGTTTTTCTGTGACTGGTTATCCTTTGGGATTACTTTTCCTGATTTTTGTTACCGGGAAATCCCGGAACGCGCGGTTTAGGAAAAAAAGCGGACTCGGAAATGTAGCCGCAGAGGCTCGAGTCCAGTGCGCTGCGCGGGGTCTCCGGTCCAGGCCGCTAGGTCCTAGATATGGCGATCCAACCTCGGGACGACGGAGACTCGAGTTCTAGCCGACCAAGCACCCGAGGTGGCCTTTGCAGCGGCGGAGGCCGAGTTGTACTGCGAAAGACGGATTTCTGATTTACTGAATCAAACGCTGAGAAAATAGGGAAACTATTTTCGGATGGTTAACTTTTCGTGTATCCAATAGAGCCGTCAATATTAATAATTTATAAATATTTTAGATCTACGGAGAAAGCTCATACGAATCTCGGAAATGATATTTTCTTTGCCACGTCGGATCGAAACTCAGCATTGGCTACTAAAATTGATTTGTTTTTTTTATCCGTCCTATTTCCAATATTTCTCGCTCTAGCTCGCCGGCGAACGCGGAGTAGGTGGGGCCCACGGACGGGAAGGGCGAGGCCAACGGGGGCCGGGACAAAAAATAATAATAATAATAATAAATAAAAAGGGGAATAAGATAAATAGAACCCGCAAAGAGACAAAACAAGTCCGACGTGGATGCTTATCCATACGCGCCCACCCCGCCTCTATACGCCTCCTCCCGCCTCGGACGCGCGGCATCTCGGAGGGACAAGACAAAACCACCTTTGTCGGCCACTTCTAAATTTCTTTTATATATTTTTTCTCATCGGATCCATCGCGAGTGCAAAATGGGTAAATCCTCTTCTTTTCTTTTTGATTCAAATATCGCGAAAAACCTCAAATTAGTATACCAATAATAAATTTATCCCGAACTAATTTTTTTACCACCAAAAATCTCAAACCGGTATACTTGCGATAAATTTACTCCGAACTAATTTTTTGACCACCAAAAATCTTAAATCGATACACTTGTAACGGGTTAACCCTCCGTTAACTTAAATTAATACCGTGAAAATCACAAACTAGTAAATCTGTGACAAATAAAGGGATAAAACCTTAAATTGGTACTCCCGTCAACTGCTACGTGTCATTCAACTCAACAATTTGATGGTAAATTTAACGGAGGATAAATCTGTTACAGGTGTACCGGCTTGAAGTTTTTTATTATCAAAAAATTAGTTTGGGGTAAATTTGTCACATGTGTACCAGTTTGAAGTTTCTTGTGATATTAATCTTTTTTTTCCATCTCTTAAGAAATATCAATTTTAACTCGAAACTTAATTTTGATCCCAACTTTTTTTACGTCACGCGATAAAAAAATCGACTTTCGGCAAGTACTCAAATTTTGTCCTTTCCATCAAATTACCATTAATCATGCGACGGGTCGTTCGACTTGCACTGAACGATCCCACGGCCTTATTGAAGTGCAAGGCCTGCATGCACAATTCGAGAGCTTCCCGTGTTTATGGACACTACTGATCGCCGGTTAAAGGTTCCATTTTTCTCGATTTCGGGACATGCTCGATGTTGACACCTAAATTTTGGCAACCTAGTTCGTCGTCCATTGCCTAAAAAATTTGGGATCGATCCCGGTCCCTAGGAAGAAGAATTAGTTAAATTGCATATAGATTAGGAGCATTTGCATTAGTAGTTAGCCCATATAATTCATTTGCATTGGACTGGTAACCGATGAATTCGAGTCGATGGTTCTGAACTCAATGAATTATCCGGACTAAACCCACAAGTGAAGCAGAATTTGGCCAAGCCCATGTACATCATAAGAGGCCAAAAATTGAAATGCCAAGCGTAAAATATTAAATAATTGGGTAATTTCGTTTGATATTATCACAATTAAATTTGATAAGAGAAAAATTTTCTTTTGGGGGAAATAGGGTATATATCTCTTAAGATCTTTGAAGATTGAAAAGTTAAAACCCTAATTGCACTCTATATATATAAAGGCTCGTAGGTTCACGATCAAAAGGGAGCCACACAATTTCATACACGGCCACATTTAGAGAACGGCGAGGAACAGACGAGAGAGAAGACGAGAAAGAGAGAGAGACTCGGCTGAGTTCACACGGTCCCATCCCCGAGCTCCCTCTCGGCAGTGGCTTCCACGCTGCACCGCCGCTGCTCGTCACCCGCTTCTGAAGACGCTCGCCGCTGCCGCGCTATCCGAAATCTCCTGTCCGCGAAGTCGCAAAAATACAGAGAGAGAGAACGACGTCCATTGGGGAGGGCGTGAGAAAGGGGCGACCACAATTCAGAGCGAGTGTCGTCCGCAGAAGATACAAGGCAAGAGAGATTGTAGAACGTGTGCAGTGAGGGGGGACCCAACTCTCCATCAATTCTCATCTTCACGCCTCACTGTCATTCACGTAGAAAACGATATCAAGCATTGAAGACTTCTTCACAGGGCGTTCAACACGCTAGACGGCGACAACTTCGGCCGCGACGGGCAAACGCTAGCTGGGTCCACCACCGCGAGGAGCCCCGCCAGCCATCCACCATCAGGTATCGCCGCTCGTGATCCATTGTGAGCTACCATCACGTCCCGTAATCCGCAATCCCGATCCTGTGTTGACTTCGAAATTGGAAGTTATCAACAAATTAGGTAAGAATTTCATCCGGTATTAATTTAAATATTTTACTGCCTAGTTTGTTTGATATCGTTACCTTTTGTGAAATTGTTGTTATCTTCGGAGTGATTATGCATATCTTTAAGGTTTTAAAAATCACCCCGAGTTAATAAATTTTCTAACTTAACAATGTACTTGGACGACAATCCGATCTCAATCATAAGATACGGTACTCGGCGGTACGGAAAATCGTCATTCTATCCATAACCATTTGGATATAATGATAGATTTTATTTTGTTTTCAAATTTAAACGAATAGCCTTCCATCAATATCTATAACCACATGGGTCTGATCGTTCGTTTATATCGTTTTCCTAATTCAAAGATAACAAAACAGATCTAGCGAATTGCGTGGATTGGTTTTGACCGTGGTGGTTATTTGTTTGTTTGATTTTGTTTCCTTTAAAATAAAATCCAAAAAGATTAGTTAAAGTTTGAATTGTTTTCTTAGAAGATAACTTTCTTTGAATAGAATAGTCTAACCTAGATACGCTAGAAACATAGGATAATTTTCCAATTTGAAATTAATTTATTTCCTAGTCTAATTTAGATATTATCCTAATCTTAATGGTTTATTTAGGGTAATTCTTGATTTCGAATTTTCATAAAAAATACCAAAAAGAAGTCACTTTAGGATAGATTAAATTATCTTTTCTTTAATAGATTGCATGCTAATTTAGGCATTTTTTTAATTCCGAATTTCATTGAAAAGCACAAAAAAAACCTCATTTGCCCATCATTAGAGTTAGGTCATTTAATCGCATATCATGTAGTTCTCATGCTAGGTTTAATTAATCGCATGTCATAATTTGCACATCATAGCACGTAAGTTAATTTTCATCTAATCAAGAGAAAATCCGAAAAAATACATTGAGTGAATTGCTTGTTAATTAGAAATCATATTAGGACTGTCGATATGATTTTCTAGCTGACGATGCAGATGCATATGTTGCTTTGAGTTACGTCATTCTTCCTATCTAGCAATTTATTTACTGCTATCATTATTATATGTTAATTTGGTGGTTTGCGCACCGCATGATCACCCCACATGTTAGA